CGCTGTGCGGGGCGCTGAGCCTGGTGCTGGGCGCGCTGCTGGGCAGAGGTGAGGCGCGGCGCGGGCGCGGAGGGGACCCCGAAACCCGGGCGAGGGGGACCCATAACCGGGGGAGAGGAGGTCCCGCACTCGGGCGCGGAGCGGACCCCGAAATCTGGCACAGAGGAGACCCCACAGCCGGCGTGGAGGGAACCCCATACCCTGAGGGACCCCAAAACCAGGCGCGGAGAGGCCCTCACACGGCGGGGGAGGGACCCCCACGCGGTGCAGCGGGGACCCCACTGCCGGCGGCGGAGGGACCGCGGCGAGGCCGTGACCGCGCGAGGCGGGCGGCCCCTTCCCGGGAGGCAGGACTGGCCGGGCCGGGCTGGGGAGTTAGTCGGGCTCGGACCCTCAGACCCACCCCCGAGCGCCCCAGAGGAGGCTGTGGCGGCGAGGAGGGGGCGTGGCGGGGCCCCGGGTGCCGTCTGGACCCCGAGTGCCCGGCGCCCATCGGGCCCGCCCGTCTCGCCGCGGAGCTGCGCCGCGCGATGCTGACCCCTTTCCTCCCCACTTTGCGCGCCCCGTCCCCAGCTCAGACTACGCGTCTTGTGATGCAGGACGCAGACCCAGCCCTCGGCACCCCCTTCCGCAGCCACCGATCCGATCCGAGAACCCACTCTGCTTCATCGCGCCCCTCCCGGGGCCCCCAGGGTTGGTTGGCGGGAACCCGACACGCTCCCCGGGTGCCCCCATGAGAGCCGGTGTGTTTGGGGGTGGCATGGCGAGGCCAGTGAGCGTCCTGTATCCAGAAAGGGCTTCCCTCAGCTGTGTCCCCGGAGGGCTTTCCTCGGTCGCCTCGTCTAAACCACAAGGATGACTCTGCCTTGGGTTTGAGGGCTGCATGCGCAGCAGCTGAATTGGGGTGCCCAGAGGGCCCCCCAAAGGTCCTGTTGTCATCGGCACGACCGTTCTGATGTGGTGCCTGAGGGCCGGGCGCGAGGGCCGGTCCCCGCCAAGCCGCAGGAGCAGCTGCCCTGGCCGCCCTCCCGCGGAGACAGCGGCGGGGCCCGCAGCAGCTGCCCGAGTCCGGGTGCGGTCAGGCAGCGCAGAGAGCAGTGTCGCCTGCTGCCGCCGCGTGCTGGCCGGTATCTCGGGTCCCCGTTAAGGCCAGGTGTGCGCGCGTGTCCTGCGCCTTCGGGGGGCAGGGCGGGCTGGCCACAGCCCGGGCTCCGAGTGCGCAGAGAAACCTCAGATGCACCCCGACGCAGACCGCGGTCTCCTTCCCGCCTACAGCTCCAGGCTGGCCTGGAGAGGCATCGGGAGAGACGAGTTGCCAATTGATGTTAAAAAGTAGGGCTTGCTTTTCAGAGGCCATTATTCACCGCCGGAGACCGGGGAGAAATCTGCTTCCCTTAGGAGCCGCTTCCCAGCCCAGCTGGGCAAGTTTGTGTTGTAGACGCGAGGCACTGTGTGCCCCTTGTGGAGGCTGCTGTTTTGTTAAAAACCCAAAACATCCTGAGGCTTGTGCCTGGAATCTGCCGTTCGCTCTTCATTGGGTTTTCCGGGGCTCGGTTTCCTTGCGTGTAAAGTGACCCCTGGAAATCCCTTCCTCTGATGCTAAACTGACTCACTGGCTGGGAAACCGCGTGGCAGGGAGAGCCCTTGCTGGGTGGGTCCTCGCGTCCTCGAGGGGATATAGTAATCAGGTGAAGTAACCTAAGTATAGTAATCAGGTGAAGAACCTAAATGTGCTTTTTGAGCAAGTTGAGGACGTGTGTGTGCGCGCACACGCGCGCCTGTGCTTTTGATTTAGAGGAGCTTTGGTTACAGGCATCAGCACCAAGGGACGGGGGCAGCGGTTAAGTGGATTTGGGACTCAGCTAGAGCATGAAGGGGGAGGTGGGGAGGTGGAGGTGATGGGGTGCGGGGTCCCTGCCTGTCCAGAGTCACCTGGTGCAGGCTCAGAGCCTCCTTGATTAGATGTGCTTTTCTTTTGTGATTGCCGAGAGGTGCCGATCACCTGGTCTGAGTGTCCCAGGGTCTGTAACTCCTCTGCAAAATGGTTTTCTGCCGTTTATTTCTCACCACCCAAAAGAGCAGTTCCCTCCCCCTCTGATTCCTCCACAAATGAAATGTCAGCCCCCGAAGATGTCTTTAAAAGGGAACATGCCCTGACCCTTGCTTCAGTGTGTAATGTCTTAAAAAATATATGGGTAAGGCCATCTGTGACTTCTCCTTTGCAAGGATGGAATGCTGATTTCTGGAATCCTTGAGGCCTCTGGCCACTTCTTAATACCGACTGTATGTTTATTTTTGACTGCGGATCTAGACATTTTGCAGTTTGCCAGGGTGTGGAAAATACATAATTTTTCTTGGGAGTTTCCATAAATAGGACAGAGCATTGAAAGGAGAGAATGTCTCACTAGGATTTAAGATTGAAGTAGCAGGCGCAAGGTCTCCTGGTGTTGGGGGCCAACGAATCAGGCGGTGTGAGGCAGTGGACGGCCGGGGGGGGGGGTGGCGGTTGCCGGGCCGAGATGCACGGCATCTGGGAGTTGAGTGATGTCCTCAGTCCCATGCCACACAGGACCGCGGTCTGCGCTCTGAAGTGAAGTGGTTTTAAGGCCTGGAATTACTGAGCTCTTCGGAGGGCACGTTGCACAGCATCAGAGGCTCACGCTTCATACCTCGTGTCCCGTGTCCTGCCTGCAGCGCTGTCCCGTAACTGTGCATGTGGTTGATTTTGTGTGAAACACGGGCGTCTTCACAGGGAGGGGAGGGTAAAGGCCTAGTACAGCCCCGCTTCACTTCGGATCAGGCTTGGCGTCCAATGAGTTACATTCAAGCAATCAACCAAACCCTTGGCTTTGAGCGCCTTGGGGATATGGGATTCTGATGAGGGTTTGGCGGTTCGGAGGAGGGTTCGGTGATTCTGAGGAGGGTTTGGTGGCTGTGGCTGCTGTGAGGAGGAGGAACAGGTGGGAGGGTGGGGAGGCCCTTCCTCTGGGCTGTGCCCTGTCCTCTCTGCCCTGCATCACCGTGCCAGGCACCACGCCCTGCACACACCACCACACACCGCCCATAGCCACACACACACACACACACACACACACACACACACACGCACGCGCATGCACACCTTCCCATCTGTCCCTTCCTGACCGTCAAGTTGAAGCACCTGCCAACTCCCCTCTTCTGCTTCTTGGAAGTCACTCAGATAAACCGCCAGGTCCTGGCTTGTGGTTTCTGCCTTCACCCACCTCCAAAACAAGCAAATAAACAGAAAAAACAATGCTCAGCTCTCCACATTTTCACTGGGAGATCATCAGCGTTTCCAGATGTGTACACACATCAAAACGCCGTGTTCTGCTCCAAAACTACTTACAGCGTTTCCACGGGGGTGGCAGCTCCAGGAGTGGAGACAGAAGCGAGCCCCTCACGTGTCTTAGAGACCTCGTGTGCCCATCGTCACGAAGAGCAAGGTTAATAGAAAGGGCTCTCCAATGCACTAATTGGACTGAGGAGGAATTTCACTGAATTAATGGAATAAATGGAATGTGGGATGGATGGGATTTTTACAGAAACTTGCATTGTTTAAAAGTTGGCTTTATTACAGTGAAATTCACCCTTTTCAAGTGTGTGGCTCTAAGTTGTGACAAAGGTACAAGGTCATGTAAAATATAATCAAAATCTCCTCTGTGCCCCCAGGGCCATCTTCTTCCTCTGCCCCAACCCCTAGCCATGCCGATCTGGTCATGGACGCTGGACTTTTGCCGTTTGCAAAATGCCACCGAAATGGATTTGTGCAGTTGGCGGCCTTCAAACCGGCTGTCTTTCCACCTGCAAAATGGGTCTGATACTCACTTTGCACCATCATTTCTTCCTCTTTAATGCTGAACCGTGTTCCATGTCGTGGGTGCACTGCAGTTTGTGTATTCACCTCCCGGGTGGAGGATGCTGGGAGGCTTTGGTGATTATGGAATGAGTGGCCGTAAATACAGCAGGGGCTTCGTGTGCACAGGCATTCACTTCTCCTGGGGCTGCTGTTTATATAACTGCACTACAGACTCCCTTTCAACACGGCTTTAACTCTGCATTCCCGCCTGCCTCGAGAAAGTGTCTGAAGCGTTTGTGTCCCCTGCAGCATGCTGTTTTCCTTTCATGTTGTTTGATTTTGCTTAGACCTCCTGATAGATAGTGGTGGGAGGGATTTCTCTGAGTGCCATGTTCCACCCTCATGACCACGCTGCAAATTCCTCCTTCTGTTTAATTTCCACCTCTGTGACTTCTTCAGTGAAATGCCTCTTTCCGGCACGGTGCCCGTGTTTTACCGCTTATTTATTTCTTTATTACCGCTCTCTGAGAGCACTTTATATGTTCTCGGTGCAGGTCCTTTCTCAGATCTTGTTTTCCAGTTTTCTCCCAGCAAATGTCTTCAGAAGAGCAGAGATTTTAATTTTAGTGAAGTGGAGATTATTAATGCTTTCTTTTCGTGGCTGTGCCCTTGGTGTCACATCTGTGTGATCTTTGCCTGAGCCACAATCGAAAGGGTTCTCTCGATGCCTACAGTGTTGGTCAGGTCTCTCCATTCCCTTTAACTGTCTATTCTCTTAGCTTGCTGAGAGAGGAGTGTGGAAATCTCCGATGAATTTGTGGCTTTGCCCATTTTTCATTTCAGTTCTCCCAACTTTTGCTTCTCATCTTTTGAAGCACCGTTTTAGGTGCATGCACAGTTAGAATTATCGTGTCCTTTTGATGGCTCACTCCTTTTACCATGAGGTACAACTCAGAACTTATTGGAAATATTTCTTGCTTTCAGGTCCATGTGGTCAGACATTAATATAGACACCTCAGCTTTCTTTTGACTAGCATTTATATGGCAGTAGCTTTCTGATCTTTTTACTTTTAATCACTGTCTTTATAGTATCATTTATAGATCACATACGGTTGGGTTTCACTTGTTTATTCAATCTGATAATCCCTATCTTTTAAGCATGGTGTTTAGGCCATTTATACTTAATGTAATTATTCATGCTGAAAGTAAAAGCTAACATTTTGCTGACTTT